TTTTTTTTTTTTTTTTTTTTTTTTTTTTGAAAATTTGAATAGAAATTCGTGAAGAACTTTCAGAAGTGGGAATTGGGCGATTTTTTGGTCCTAAAAAAGATGTTTCAGTCTGGAGCGTCCATGTACTTGCACAAAACTTAGACTCATAGATGAAAAGCTTTTTAGCACCATCTTCATTTAAAAAGGTGGAGTAGATATTAAACAAGACTTACTGGCTAATTGTATTCGAGAAGGAAAGCGAGACAGAGTAGTTAAAAGACTACTATGTTAAAAGATGGTCTAAAAGCTTTTGCTGTTTTCAAACATCAAAGATTTGTGTCGCAGCTTTAAAATTACCAAAAGTTCAAAAACTGAGGAACACCAAAGTTGGCCCTACTGTAATACGACAGTGCCAGCGGGAAGCGTTTCTGATGTGTAAAGTCGAAAAGTAAAATTCGAGAGTGCTTTGCCTATGCGGTATTTGATTTTTACAATTTAGCTTATTTTGAAATGGCCACATCGGAGTTGCTACAGTCGGCCGAAGATAAAGACGATTATACATTGTATGATACCGCCCTCTGTGATGATTTTTTTGAGGAAGACTTTGCCGACGAAACTGGAGGTAGGCAGCCGGAAAATATCTTGAAAGTGGTAGTGAAATTGAATTTAAATAGTTTTGCGAAAGTTTCTAGAAGGTTTCTGTATCATAAATTGTGGTCAACTGGATATTCACATTTTGAACGTTTAGGTTTCAGACTTCACCAAACGCTTCAATGCAGCGAGAGCGAATTTCGTCGGGGTATTGGAATTGTCCATATTATTCTACTATTAGTTATTTTTTGTTGATGTTACTCGCTTAAGTTATATTATCTTTTAGCCAAACAGTAATACTGCTCGAATTACTGGCGCAAAGACGACATTGAACTGCGGTTTGTAGCTTAGTCCATTTTGTTCCTTTTTGATGTTATGTGTTCTTCTTTCTGACTCATCCGCTTAGATTAATATTTGAGTATGAGAAAGCTCTTGCTGCCTTTTCAGTGCTTTCTGGTGCACTAGTATATTTTCGGGGTCTCATTTTACTCCCGGATGTTAAGTTGTTACAGCCCTTTTCGATAATTTTACAGTATACTTTATATTTCTAGATGACTGTTTGCGCGGGATTTTTGAGGAGAAGTTTCAAGGGCTCGGTGAGAATAAGATGGGGAGAGTGAAGGATAGAGCTGATCGGGCGACTGTGGAACAGGTAAGTAGCTCTGGATTTCTGTTTTATTTTGAAAATTTGATCATTGATTTCTCTAATTTCTGCACAAATTGCAGGTTTTAGATCCTCGCACCCGTCTTATCCTTTTTCGCTTGTTGCAAAGAAATATTTTTGCGTCGATCGACGGTTGCATTAACACAGGAAAAGAAGCAAATGTTTACCATGCCTTGTGTTCAGACGGGTCTAGCGTTGCTGTAAAAATTTACAAAACGAGTATACTTACTTTCAAAGACAGAGATCGCTACGTCACTGGGGAGTTTAGGCCAGTTTCGGCCTCTTATCCTATATTTTCTAGAACTTTTTGTTTGAATTGTATAGATCTGTGTTTAAGTGGGTAAAGATTACAGGTACCGTCATGGGTACTGTAGGCGTAATCCTAGGAAAATGGTAGCAACGTGGGCAGAAAAAGAAATGCGTAATTTGTCTCGTATGCATCAAGCCGGTTTGGCTGTTCCTAAGCCAATTCTGCTTAAAGGACACGTGTTAGTAATGGAATTCTTAGGTGATGACGGTTGGCCCGCACCGTTGTTGAAAGTCAGTTTTCTACACTTACTTTTTAGAGTTGGTTTCATTTCTTCAGAGCCCTTTTTGCTGTTACCCAAAAGTTGTTCTTTTCAGACTGCCGATTTGGAGATGCCTTTATTAGAGAAAATTTACTTGGATTTAGTTGTTCTCATGAGGAAAATGTATAGGAGCTGTCGCTTAGTTCATGCGGACCTTTCGGAATATAATTTGATTGTACACCGGGAAAAACTTTATATAAT